TCAGGTCGGAGGTGTCGTGCCAAGTGTTGTCCTCAGCAGGCTCATCTAGCTTGTTAAGACGGTCTTCTGAGGGCTTGACCTTGTTGGCGGTGTTCTGGGCGGCATCGCCAGCCATGTCACGGAGCAGAACGGTGGCATCTGAAAGCAACTTCCTGAACTGGCCGTTGGAAATAAGGAGGGTACCGAGAGTCCGTAGACCGTCAAGCGCCTCGTTTCCGTGCTGCTTCGCTGTGTCCTTGTCAACAGGCGCATTAGGGAGGGCGGCGCTGTTGCCACCGAGGTGCTCTGCCTGCCAGATGAAGTCCTGGAGGAGGTTGCCCTCGTTCTTGGTGAGTAGTAGGATCTTGGCCTGCTCGATGACCTTCTTGAGGTCGGTCACCAGATGCTGACCCTCGCTCGACAGCTTCTTGGATGGTGAGTTGAGCGACCTGTGGGCCAGCGCGGAGTTGAGCGCGACATCGATTTGCTGGTTGGAGGGGACCTTTCCGTTAGAGAAGGCTAGTTGTGGTCAGCGCTTGTTTACATTTGCGTGTGCGACGCGAAGAGCATCGACGCGCCATTGCACGTGTTCACATACCCTCGAAGATGCCGTACAGCTGTAGCTTGTTGTTGACGTCCTTCTCCTTCTGCTTCAAGTCCACCGGACCTGCCGTCTGTTAGCAATGTTTGGGGGCAAAGCGGGGTAGCTAGACATACGATTTACGGAACTCATGGTGTAGGACTGCTTCTGTGGGTATCAAGGTGGGGTATCAAAATGCAGACGCAGAGCTGAAAACAATGGAGGTAGGGTGGATGGGTATTTCGAGGGGATGGGTATCACAGTGGTTTGTGTGGGAGGGAGGCGGGTGAGGGCAGAAAGCAGCTTTGTATTTGGGCTGGCTGGGTAACACGCGCGATTGCAGCAACTACGTCACTGCGTCGTAGCTTGCCGCTTGCGAAGAGCCTGGACTTGGAACAGCGACCGACCACGACCAACTTGCCTGACCCCGCGACTACCGGCCACCATTTTCCCGCTGCCAGCGATCGAATTCCGCGGACACGCTCACAGAACGCGGCAGCCCCGTTCCCTGGCGATGTGCCGTCCAATGCCACAACTGTCCACGTTTTTCCTGGGGCACGAGGCCTGCCACGCCCAAACGAGGTCGCCCTGGCCTGTATGACGGAGCCTCTAGGTATGTTTGGGGGTTCGATCGGCGCCAGGTTTCCCAAAGGATGCCAAAACATGTGTCCCGCTTGCGTCATGGGTAATTCGACAGCGCCACACCTACCTGGCAATCTCGATTCCGTCTGATGCGAAGCGTGGCGCCGCCCAGCCTAGCAAACTCTTCCCTGCATGTATTAGACAACCCCGTTTCCTGCGGACTTTCTGCTTGCACACGCCTTCTCACCCCCTCGCGGAGTCCGTGATGCTCTCCTTTCCTGTCGCTCTGTCTAGTTCGTTGCGCCACACCTGGGATACCAAGCTTTTCTTGGCGACACGCTAGACGGCTAGCGCGAGTACCGCCGGCCACACCGCTCGCACGATGACGACGTCCATCTTCGAGTTCACGATGCAATCTCGTGGGGCGCCTGCTCATTCGCCGCCCATCTACTTCAATGGGTCCTGCTGGCGCGTCGCCCTCACGTTCCCAAGTTCGTGCGCGCCACACACGCATCAAACGGCTCCGACCCCAGCACGTGAAGTGCGGAAACCGGGAAATTCCAGACAAGGCCAATCCTGGAAGCGCTCTCCCTTCAGATCTGCCCGCCCTGACCGATCTTGTACAGAACTGGTCGACGTGCCTGCGTGCTAGGGCGTAGATCAGCCGATCCACTAAGCCTGTCAGGCGCTACTTGTGCCTCAACCTACAAAACGCTCTTACTAAAAGTTTGAGATACCATCTTGCTCCTGTCCTTGCACTCGGAACGTTCCGATTAATCATGTACAAAGTTGTCAAACGCACGAACCATCGGAGGGTTAGTTCAGAAGTCAACGATGTGTCCGACCACACCATAGCCGCACCGGCTATCCCTACTAGCGTCGTAGTGTCGTCTCAACGTCAAAGAACTTGCCCCTAAAGTCTATGCCTTGCATGGCCGCATTGCTTAAGCTCGGGAAGGTTTGTGCCGTTAGGGTTCTCAGCGTGTACTTGATGCGAACATGCTGTCGTAAAAGTATGTCGGAAGTGTCAAGCAGGCGGGTCATACCTGGGTTACAGCCCAGAAGAAGGCGAGGCGACCGTGGACAGAAGAGGGGAGTACTTCGATTGCTGCAGACGCCGACCAGCCATTATCTACACAATGTAGTAGCTTCTACAAAGCCCTGAAGTTGACTAGGGGCTATCCAGCGATGTAGCAGTCACCCATGGACTCGGGCGCCAAAATTCGTCTCCTTCTCCTCTCAACCACCCGACGACATGCATACCTCAAACAGCCACTATGAATCTTCCATGAGGCTCTTGATGACCTTGTCCACCTCGTCGATAAGCGCGCCGATCGCGTTCTTCCCGTTCTCGATCTTCGCTTTAACGACTGTAATCGATTGGTAGTCGATATGGACGAAGATGCGGAGATACGCCGGACCGCTGGCTGCGGTACCGTTGACGGCGGTGGCGTTCAAGTTGCGGCTCATGATATACACATCGGTTATTCCCGCCTTGGAGAGTTCTTTGGACCGTTTGCTGACAATGATGGACGCGATATTTTCTGACAGATCTCTTAGCTTTGTGACTTACATGGGTGGAAGAAATAGCCAGTGGTGGGGTCGCGCGTGCAACACAATGGACTTCAAGTATTGATAACAATACCCTGGAGGAAAGATCGCTACGAAAAGACCCAGGGACAGTTGTACTTACGAGCCAGCAATAAAATGTTCTTGGCTTCATTGGTGGCGTTCAAGAGACTGCTGGCGTCCCGAAAAGGTTGTAGCAGCTCTAAAATTCGGTACTCGAGGGTATGGTCAGAGACTGGGACGTTGAAGGCCTTGACGGAACTTTGCACTGGGCTATTGAAGGCGGCATCCTGGGGCCGCGGAGGCAGGGAGGAATAGTACTGATTAGGATATGGTGGCGTGTAGGAACTATGTGAGCCCGACATCATGTATATCGACATCGTGGAGTAGATATTGTGCGCGGGGTAGTGAGAGTCTGGGTACGGTCAACCCTATATTTATATACCCTCGGAACTCTGCGTTACCGCCAAGGTGAGCTAAGAAGCTCGCGATGGAGTTGGGGCAGTATTTGACCCTTCATTGCTGTCGCAACCTTTGCGGCCGATAATTCACTCCAATCTCTCTTCGCCAAGATGATCACAACATTGACGCCGATAATCCCAAATCTGCATTCAGTATCACGATATACGAAACGTCCAACGAGAGTGGCATTCTCCTGTCTACGTTACCACCTTCTAGATACTGTACATCTGTTCATCCACCAGGAGAAACTACCTTGGACCATCTCCGCGCAGTAAATAGCTACCATTCCCCTCGTCATCACTAAGTGGCATCAACTCAGCTTTTCTGACGACTCTGAACAGAAACCCAGGATGAAAGACCGCCATAATAACCACCACCGCGAACATGAGCGCCGCATCAAAGACATACAAGTACGCCTCTGTCTGATACACCTTACTCTCCGGCCCTTCGATAAACTCCGCCAGCCGGAAAATGCTACGTACAACGACGAGCACACTGACGCTGTACAAAGCCCACATGTAGCGGCGCCACTTGACATGTGTTCGCCGTGACGTACTGGTAGGCTCATTGTTCAGCCTTCGATGAAACACCACAGCCATTAGGATGAAGAAAGCGAAAGCGACCAATTGCGTACCCAGTCCTGCGATGACGACGGTGGTTCCAGTCTTCACTCCGTCTGGGTCACCGGAAGCTTGCATCGCAGACCCCATGATCTGGCATACGAAAGATCCAATGTCAATGATGACGTATATCTTCGTCGTCCAGCGCGGATTCATTACAGCGTGGTGCGTAGCATCGAGAGAGCGAATAAGGCGACCGAGCGTCATGTAGATGGTGGCTGCGAGAAGTGGTGCGGCCGCGAGGATAAGCATGAGTTGAAGGAGATAAGGGCTGCCTTGTCGGATATTCTGTGAGGACCAGGCGCGACCGTAGTAGCCGGCTGCTTCGCCTGTGGATCAGATTATCAGCGATGTGCTTTTCGGCGGTGGGATCAAGCACAAAGGTAACTGACCTACGCAGCCCAGAACGAATGGGATGAAGAACCAACTTCGCAACGGAATGAGCATGATGAGATGCGTCAGGCCGCCGATCGCAAATAGTATAAGAAATGCGTAGCCGGCGCCTGCTGAGGGCGTGTAAGGGTAAAGATCGAAGTCAGCTTCGCCTCTAGGAACGATGTCGTGTGACGCCATCTGCGGATTCTGGGTCGATAACGGCTAAGGAAAATTTTGGGTAAGCAAGAAACAAAAGATTAAAGACAGAATGTGTACGGAGATGTAGAAGATGATGGAGCGAATGAAGATACCTTCCAAGACACGACTGCGCGCCGTTACTATATACACATCCTGACTGGGCACATTTTTCGCATTCAACTCTTTCGTTCTCTTATCTCTCTCAAGCATTACCACAAGAGGCGCAGCGCCGCGCGGCATCTTTTGAGTCTTTGCTTGGTTGTTTCGTGTTGGTCTGTGGGTCTCGTAACGAAAGAGAATACGCGCTGATACGCGCTGGCATACGCGATCACCCTGCCTCATCAATTTCTTCCGCTACATTGTGGCTTTAATGATTTTGGATATTGTTTGGACCTTTCGTTACCTAAAGCATGCTTCTCAAATACCGTCTGTCTTAATAGCCATGGTGATGGTTGGTATTCTGGGTGATGCGACAAGACGAGGCGGATCGCGAACACAAAGCCGATGGCGAGATCTTCGCGATATACCATGCCAGCCTACGGTTGTTTCCGAATTCGAACTCCATTTGAACGGTACTACTAGATATACACAAACGACGTTCGTAGAATTCGAATAGCAAAAGTGGCGCAATGAGCCTAGAAGATGGCGATAACTCCAGGTGGACTTCCAATACCACCCCTAACGTGTAATGGAGCACTTGTCATGAAGAAAGTGTACCGGCCCATCTCCTTGCACCTCTGACTAAGCTTCTCAAGGTCCCACATCTCGCCGATAGCGGTACCCCAATGAACGAGAAGCCACTCGTGTAGGCACCATCCGTCGGTAAACTTTGGTGGCCATGCTTCAAAAGCGACGGTATCACCAGCGATCGCCGCGAGGTGACGGTCGTAAAGCCAACGTACCGTCTTCTCGTTGGCTTGAAGACCAATCGCGACACTATTGTCGCGAGTACCGCTCTTGCGCTCCGCTTCGTTCGCATTGCTAGGATCGTCAGTCATGTCTCTCAGAGTGGTAAGACAACATACTTGTGCCATCTTACGTAACCGCTTCGAATCATCATAATGTCTCCCTGCTTCAAAGTGGTGCCTTGCCACTTCAGCGTCTCTTCAATCTCCTCGATAGGGATCTCGTGTCTCGACACCGCACTTGGTGCTTTCTTCCCGTTCTTCTCTTCATACCAACTAAGCCAGTCGCAAAGCACACCTCTTCCAACAATGCCACCTCTTTCGCACCACTTGTGCGTTCCGTTCGTGACGCTGTTCGCTGCCTCTTTATGCGAGAGACCGTTGTAATACATGCCGCTTGCTTGATGCGCGAAATGCTTCAAGCTATCCCACTGAGATCCAGCTTGAGTGTTGATGTGAAGTTCGTCATCGTTAGCACAGAACTCGGAGAAGTCCGCAAAATCGATTTGCTTTTGCTCGAGTTCTTTTCTGTTGAACCCTGGAAATTGCACGTTGTGTAGTTCCCAGTCAAGCTGGATGTGCTCGCCGGTAGTGATCTCTTTGGAGGCCGCTTTCACGACATCCGAGGTGAGAAGGTTGATAGCTGTCGCCTGTTAGATATACGATTGCTGTATGGGGTACAATTTGCTTTACTTCCGACTTCATCCTTTTGCCCGTCTTTGTCAAAGAACCCCCATATGCTGCCCTGTGGCATGCCCTCGACCTTCGGAAGGTCGTCAAACGCCGGGAATTTGTACTCTTGTTTCGCCATAGTCAATGTATCAATACTTTTGCTATCGTAGGTTATAAGATGTTACTCTACAAGACCCCAAAGTCACTTTGGAGAAGCTTGATATATGGGGCATTGTACACCGAGGTCAGTCCGGACCCCGCATCCAACGCTGATCCGCACCATGTGGACGCTTTCTTTGCTGTGGCTTCAATGACGTTGCAAATCATCATTTAGTGCGTCGCGTGAGTGTGCTAGTCATGAGCCGAAGCAGGGTGGTTGGTAGCCGGACCCGCTTCCGAAAGGTGGAGATAATGCTGATTATGGCACGCTTAGGTCATCCCTCCGTCCGGCATCCGAATAAAAGTCCACGCGCGACGGCACCATCGCTTTGCTACGAAGACACCTTTCCAGCGACTACCCAAACTCGCTCAACTATCCTCTATATAACCATCTATTTCATCTTTTCGGTCGCTGTGGATAAGCCTGCGCACGCGGCCCAGCATATAGCTCACCTTCTTTGGGGTTTTCCACGGCCTCGTCGGAGAAGGAGCAATGCCCCGCTCCATTTGATTGTACTTCAACAACACCCCACATTAACTTCTTAACGGCAATTTCATCACCTCTTTCCTTGTCAGCGGTTGACAAGTGACAAGCTGCGCTCATGGCTGCACTACAACTGCCAACCAGATTGGTTCCTGGTCGCAAAGGAACGAATCCCACTCCGACGCCGACAATGAGAACGAGACTCGCAACGATGATCACAGATATCATGGCGATGGGAGAATAGCCGCATGTATATCGTACATCTGATGGCACACTATCACCGATCCCATAGAACTAATGTCATCGTCAGCTATCACACTAAGTTCAGAACATGTCCAGGTAAAGAGCCTACCTCTATGGCGGCAAAGAAGATGCTTTGTGATATCATCCAATGTAGCAATCCACTGATTGCCATAAGTGGTATTGCAAACCGATAAGGTAGCGACAAGAAGTAGGTTGATCTTTGCAACCCTCTCGGGGCGCTCGAAACCCTTAAACCCTTTCGAACGTATGAATACGATGACCATTCTTTTCCTAGCAGCATACACGTCAACAGACTGTTGCATGAGAAATAGATGATCGAAAGCACAACCTGTGGCACGTTGGCTATGAGAGTGTTGCCTATTATGGAGTCGACATTGTGTTCACGTGGATACTCGATTAGTGTCCGAGCGTCGATGGCACCAAAACCCAACGCAGCGAGATTGCGAAGGGAGTTACTTTTACCAGATCGGAGATGACGCAACCCGTAGGAAAGAAATCCTCCTACGGTTGCTATCGAGATCAGAAGCCTGGGGGATGTTAACGAATCTTTGCGGATGGTAGAACGACGCGTGCGCACTTACACAGCGAAAGTGCTAATGCGACGGCTTAGACTTGTAGTATCTTTCCATCTATAGATTCGAAGCTTCCATCTCTTCGGTCCGGCAATGAAATTGTTTTTTGCACTCTCGATGTCCTTGGAGGAAGCGAGGCACATATTCCGAGTCCATGGATCCGGCTGTTTCAGGAATGAGAGCACAGCGTCACCCATCGTCATGAGTGGCTGCTCTTTAATGCGAAGAGCCAAATAGAAGATCGATATGGCCTTGATAAGATTCAGCCCTATCACCAGCGACGCGATGGGAATGCTCCAGAGAACTCGACACTTTGAGTCTTTCCTTTCACGCAAACAGTACTGTATGGGGCCTCTCATGTGGGAGAACCCAGACACACTCACGAGGTAGCCAATATCACCTGTTATGGTCCAGTTCTGTGCAGAGCCTCTGATGTCGTCTACTACTGCGTCGCATGACTTGTCCACATCCGTATGGCCCGAACAAATCCACTCGAAAGTATCCTGTGGAAAATATTCCCAAGCACTTGTGAGCGAGTGAGTCCAGAAAACCCCCGAGTTTTCGTTATTCTTGTAGTCGTCGTCTACCCCTTCAGTTTGATTTGCCCATACAATGTCATCAGACTTAGCCACTAAAAGTAGATCGCCTCTATGCGTTTGCAGGGTTGTTGCGTATGCGTCAATGCAATCCAAGTTATCGAGCCTCTCGAACCGGCTTTCTTGGATCCTTTGGTGTATCTCCCTGGTGAAGGCGAAGTCGGAGCCATTGATAGGACTCACACAGCCCAGACATTCAGCGCTGTCAACAAAGTTTTGTCTGACCCCGTAAACTTCGTAACTGTATGCTGCAAGAGACAGATACACGACCGAGTTGTAACTTCACATGTTAGTGTACTATAGGTTCTGGCTTCGACTCAATACTTACAAGAGATGTAGAGGTAGCGACGAGAGCGCTAGGGCTGACCAAAGAAGTACGCGCTTCTTGCTGATGCGACGTAGATTTCGAACGCTTAGGACACCTACATCCATCCATTGGCCTCGAGAGTGGGCGACGTTGATATCCATTCTGGTTGGAGAAGATAGACACTGCATAGCGTAATTCGATGAAGACAACAGAATTGTACTCAACAAGTTGATGATGACATGAAGGACTGCGTTGATCTTACGCGCACGATCACAGTCCCCTCTGAATAATACACCGCTATCAGTATTGGCAGCCCATGCTATAGTGGCGATCAGATTTATGAGAAAGACTATGGAGGCTGCGATCGCGCAGTTGAGGGCGCCGAATCTCCAACCTTTGGTGAATGTATCTCTGGACTTTTTCAAAGGTTCGGAGTGCGGCATCTGCATGTGGGTAAGGTGTTGTAGTTCCGATGCTGTGATATCGTCATCTACCGGATGGCGTTTGCGATGCTTGTACTTTGTAGAGAAGAAGCCGAACATGATGATGAACTCCACGGATTGTATGAGCGTTCTGAAAGATCTCATAGCAGCCATCTATACATATATTTGTACTGGTGTTTGTCCGCCCTGCCAAGACCCACGCCTCGTAAGCAAAATAGGGGCGGCGGAGGATTGTTCATCATTGGTGCTCCCTGGTACCGGTCAGTGTGGTCTCACTCAGCTCATCAGTCCACGTGAAGCCGCCCGGTTTATCGTTACCAGACCTTCTAGTGGTGCCGTCCGCCTAGATCCTGCCACGGCTTTACCGGCTTTAAAAGTTACGCCTAGTCGCAACACAGGTTACGTGTTAGAAGGCGGCTTCGACTTAGATGCACCCTATTTAAGGGAAAAACTAAACACTCTAGAGCCTATATTAGGATAAAAACTTGCGAAGTTAGTAGCCTAACAGTAACGTAGGCTTCTAGGTGTTTAGTTTTTCTCTTATATAGAGTAGATACGCTTTTAAAATTAACTAGTTACCTAGTTACACGCTTGCGTTATTAGTTAAATAGTATAATCTATTATATTAATAGTTTGCAATAATCTTAAAGCGCGTTACTACTAAGTAGGCGTAATAGGTTATATAGATAGCACTAGCTTATAAGGCTCTATTAGTGTTATTAGTAGTTTAAGGTCTTACTTAAGTAAGATAATACTTTAGATTAAAGTAAGAGAGATAGTAGCTATTAATAAGACCTTATAGTTATTAAACGTAGATACTATTAGTGTAACTACTAGTACAGCGCGTAAGTAGAAAGAAAGTAAACTATTTTATATTAGCTCTAATACTCTAACACGTTTACTAGCTAATCTAATATAGATACCTAAAGTAAAGAGTAAATATAATAGCTTCTACTTAGAGTTTAATAGTCTTAGTAGTAACCTAAGTCTAATTAGGTCTAGTAGCTACTAGTATATAAAGACTCTTATAAAACTTATTATAGCTTATTAAACTAAGTTTTTTATTTTTTACTTTACTAAACTTCTTTATAAGTAGCTTTAATAATTTAGTTTAATAATTAGCTCTAATAATTATACTACTTAGTTTAATAATTATAGCTAATTATAATATTTCTAATAACTTTTTAATTTAGTCTACTTTTACTTTATAATTATTTATACTATTCTACTTAATTTAGCTAATTATATTATTTCTAATAATTTTCTAATTTAGCTTATCTTTACTTTATATCTTTATTTTATAATTATTTATAATATTTTATTTAATCTAGTATACCTCTATTATATAATCTATCTACTTTTACCTTTACTTTTACTAATTATTTAAAATAATCTATAGTAATAGATTTTTTTTTTTAAATATAGCTAATAATATTAAAAGTAGACTTTTTTATAACTTATAATAAATACTTAATTATCTTTACTAAAGTAGGCTAGTACCTTAATTATTTAGTATAATTTTAGTAATAGTATTTAGCTCTAAGCTTTTTAAGCTTTTATTATTTTTAGTTAATATTATTAAGAATAAAATTAAACTTAAGTATAAGTAAAGTAGCTAACTAAAATAGAATTAAGTAAAATTATATTAGATAATTCTTAAAAAGAAGTAAGTTAGAATATTATTTATATTTATAATTATTACTAATAATATAGTAAGTAGTAAAAAGTACTTAATAATTATTCTATTTCTAAGAAAGGTTTAGAAAAAGAACGCTTAGTATATAAATAATTATATTAATTATACTATTATCTTTAATAATTACTAGTAAGATTTAGACTTATAATAAGTAGTAGAAATCTAATGTATAGTAAGTTTTTTTACTATAATTATTTAAAATATTCTAATATTAAAATAGATCTAAGAAGACTAAAAGTATAAAAGATTTACGTAAAAGAATATAGCATAAGAAATATTTATTACTAATAATTTAAATATTATTTATACTAATTTAATACTTTATAGATTATCTATCTAAATACTAAATCTACGTAGTTAGATAGAAGGCTAATTTTAGTAGTAATAAGATAAATATCTTTAATAATTTACTATATTTTATTATTAATTATACTTTAGATCTCTATTAAACTTAATAATATTAATATATTACTTTATAAATATTTATAGAAGAAGACTATAGTTAAAGAAATTTCTCTTAATTATAAATAATAATTTTCTAAATATTCTAAATAATTCTAATATATAATTAGAAGAAGTATATTCTTTATACTTTAAATAGTAATTCTACTATAAGTT